ACATAACCACTCTCTCCAGGCCCCTGGAAGCTGTGATGGCAACGTTGGAGATAGTGTGCCATTGGAGGTGTGGGGCAAAATTGATGTTTATAACTCTAGATGGTTGAACTCAAAAAAGGAGCCCTAGCCCATAGCTTTTCACACGTTAATAGCTTGACCTTTTCCTTTGGAGGCCCCACCTGCTGCTGCCAATGCAATGGAGAATGAGGCCAGCTCGCAAATACCTGACAAAGACAACTTTTGTATTCCAACTTGGGCCGTTCTTTTGTTTATGGCTAGCTGGAAGATCAACAACCTTTTCATGAGGTCCACCCTGGAGCGATTGAAGAAAGTGAAGAACCACCCAAGGACACTATACAGCTGAATGGAAGAATCATCTTCTCACTTTGAAGCCCTGATGTTATGACTTCATACTTTTGCCGCCTTGTCCCAGGAGCCTGAAGAGGCACCGAAGCTGCGCAGGCCTCGACCGTGTCACGCTGACGCTTTTCAGAGATCTTGGTGGATTTGTTGTTTAATTCACCTAGATTAGACCACATGTTCAAACCAGTTTCGAAGCAGCTGCCTCAAGGACAGGGAGCCCATGCTGGCGAACCCGCCTGATCTGAACCATGTCTTGAGTGGATTATCTGTGAATGACATTGAATCCAAGCAAGACATGGATATATTTGAAGCGCAACAAGCCGTGTCACTAGATCGAATAAGCTATGTTGCGTGGCGTGTGAATTGTGAATCAACCAAATGACCTTTTTGTCTTTTTACTTCATCCACTAGGGCAGTGTCTGAAGGCGAAAAAGATCGCGCGAGGAAGCATCCACCTCCAATGGACGTGGGCGTGGCAGAGGCAAGGGCAAGGGCAAAGGCAAGGCTGCAGCAGGAGCAAACCACCAGCAAGGAGACATGTCGCACGCAGATCAGGGCAAGAGCCGTGGGCGTGGAAAGGGGAAGGGCAGAAAACGGTTGGCAGAAGTAGGGGTCAGCGAGCTTGAGCAGAGTGATACTCAGCAAGCAGCTGCCAGCTCCTCATCAAGCAAGGGAAAGGGAAAGGGGGGCAGGGAAGGCAAAGGCGAAAGCAGAGCCTAAGAGGAAAGGTGCAGGAAAGGCCAAGGCAAAGCCACAGCCGAAGCGCAAAGCAATGCACCAACCGCATGTCGTAGGCAGGTTCCTGATCCTGTTGGACATATTTTTTGTGCTCATGGTGTATACGTTTCCGGGGGAACATAACAAATCTGTTTGCTGCAGATGACGTCGAGAAGCAGAAGATCAAGGACTCTTTGCCAAACATGACCCGTTACAAGGCTGGTCCCATGCATACAAATCAAGCCCAGTCAGGTCATTTCCCTTCCGGCCTGTGACTGCAGGTGACAATCTACTGGACCTGTGGAGATGTTGGAGTTGAGAGGAAGGCCATGGTGCTGGAGGATGGCACCGCTCAGAACAAGCAACCGGTGCATCTTGCTCATTTGTTGTTGCAAGTGGTGACACCACGAATCATTGTAGATTGGTTTGTACATAAATTAGACCAACTTGTCTTGGGAATGGCCAGGTTGCATTCTTGAGCCTAAGTCGATACCCCACGGCTTCGCTGGCCATGCTGGTGAGTTTGGCTTCCACGCTAGCTGATTTCTTAGTGGTGACACACCCACACACACACACACGGCCCCCCCAGCAGCTAACCCACAGCCAAGCAGCACAAACCAAGGCCAAAGACTTGGACGATGGACGTGCCCTAGATGAAGCCATGACCACCTTCTATCAGGCAAGAGACAGGCATTTCGGGCAGCCACAAGTGCGAAACGATGCCCCCGATGTGGACTAGGTTGCAATTGGACTGGCCTTGGGGTAAAGCCGCCAGTACTAGTGGATTGTGCAGTTTGACTTCCTTCAGAGTTAATGGTTCGTGAAACCGGCCATTAGTAGGGGTGTGGAGTAGGGTCTCACAATTTACATAGGATCCTGGTAGCTAACCGCCAGTGACACACTTTCAGAGATGCTGCCCCAGCCTTTGTGGTCCAAGTGTTCCAATCATTCAACAACCACAATTGTTGAAACACCTAACTCTTTACATGTTTTGGAGGGGCGTGACCGGCTACTGTGGTGTGTGCCAATCTTTAAATTTCAGCTGTGGCTATGACATTGCCACAATCAACGCAAAGTGCAGACTTGAAAGGAGTGGAAAACATTCGGAATGCAGTGCAATAGCGTGCTTGCTTCTTGGAACCCAGCAAGCTCATCAATATGGCAATCCCATCATGTACACCCGTCCGTGCTCCTTCCATCAGGTTCTCAAGCACGTGGACACTCAGAGCAGCTAGGATCCTGTTCCCCACCCGTCATGGCCGCCGGATACTGCCTCACTGATCTTCAAGCAGGGCTTTTGTTGGCCCTTGGTGCGCCATGCATTCTGTTTCCAAGCTGATCACATGATATCAGCATTGGGTCCCAAAAATACCTGTGTGTGTCCCAGCCAAGGGTGCACCTTCTAGACTACACTGCATCCAAATCTCAGAAATCCTACTCCCGTGCCACTTGGAATGCAACCTGTGTGAGCGCAGCTGCAATAGAAGAATTCCAATCACGAACTTATAAACATAACCATATATCTTATTCACATTCTCACTGTCTCAGGATTTGTGGTGCTTTGAAATGTTTTCCGGGATTGGTGGTATCCACAACGCGTTTCGCAAGAGGCCTAGCGGTTGTGAGCTGGACCAAATCTGCACTGACAGTCTGCGCACACCGGTTCTCATTCCAAGGGAGGTATAGGTCTCTAGGTCAGAATCTACTGTGTCTCTCTGAGGTCGATTGAACCTCTCATC